TATATATATATATATATATATATATATACTGTTTGTACTGGAGCACTGTAACCAAAATAATTTCCCCTAGGGATCAATAAAGTATTCTGATTCTGATTCATTCCTGTTTGCAACAATAACGACACTAACTCTGAGCACTAACCTGTAAAACACTAAAAGTATAGATCAATCAAGAGTCACGTCTTTCATGACAGCCCTCTATCACCACTTTGTATTAATGTGGGCAGAAGTCAAGAAAAGAGACGGTGCGATCAATACAGGTTTATGATTATTGATTAGGCCTATCATCTTAGGGAATTCAAAAGGGGAAAGGAACACAGCAGAAATCATAATTGATTTTAGTCCTTGCAGAGAAGCCCGGGATCCTTTACTGCAGAGCTACATGTAAACATTTCTGAAGACGTCTGCCGTTCTTGCTGAGGCTGGGAGTCAGCAGGCTCAAATGTTTATTATTCTGATTACAAAGCAACACCGTTATTAGACCAGTAACTACACAAAGGGTTTAAAGGGTTAAAACCCACATCTGCATGGAGTGACTTAACACTAAGGTGTTATAGGGACATCGAGCATTGAGTCCTTAATGCTAAGTCTGAAGTTCAGTTTTTAAAATTTCACACTTATTGGATTCTGAACTTCAACAGGTAACAAAGGAACAAACAGTCAGGCTGCTGCCTCCATTTCTACATGTTCATATTTCTAAAGCAGAATCACTGTGGCGATCACGTCTTTGTGCTGCTTTTTAACTGTAATTTGTGTTACTGACTTCATGTTCATACCTAGAGAGAATCGGAAAGGAACTGAAATTGCTAAAGTCTAATCAATGCCCATCCCTAGTGATGGATTGATAGATTAATGTGTATTATATGTTTTTATCTATTAAGTATGAATATGTAAGTGAAAGCCAAATGACACTCTGCATGTATTTCTTCCTATCCTTCAATTCTTGTTCATTGTGATGATCATCATTAACCGTTACCCTCTTTCTCTTTCAGCCTTACTAACCACCGACTGTGAGGCTCACTTATGAGCACATTAAGCTATGGGAGCCTGGCTGACTCTCCTCCTCTACTGCCCACCTTTGTCTTTGGTTTAGTAAATTATTCTGGCATTATTAAAAACCCTTTGAACTACAACAACTTTGTGGCACCTTATATATTGGGATACTCCTGATTTTACAAAGTACAACATTAATAAAAAGCAATGAGCAGGTGATGTACTCACCACTGATAACCTGACCAAAGAGCTCCTCTGGAGTGTCTCCGAAAAAGGGAGCGCAGCCCACCAGGAACTCATACAGGATGACTCCCATTGCCCACCAGTCCACCGGCTTGCCGTAGCCCTGACGGAGAATCACCTCGGGGGCGATGTACTCTGGAGTGCCACAAACCTGCAAAAGCAGAACATTAGCTCAGCACATGAAAAACACACACACAAAGGTATTTATTCAGTTTTGTTAAGGAAAGACAGGCATAACTTCTGGGTCTGAAAAGTGAAGCCAACACTATGCAAACATGCAAACACTGCCCTTGGGCTTTGTCTCTGTAAAACCTTTCTGCTGAGTTTATCATACATACGGAATAAAACATCAAATTCATTTTGTAAACTGACATAATTCAAAGTTTAAGAAAGGAATCGGGGGTTTGCTCACTGACTAACTACTTCTGAATGACAAATGTGAGTGTGCAGTTTCACAGTCAGTCATAACATGCATACATAAGCCTTAAAAAGCTCATACCTGTTTGTCCAGAAACTCTCGGGTGTCTTTCTCTATGTGTCCTTCATACAGATTTGTGGTCAAACTCATCAAACCGATTTTAGAGAGGCCAAAGTCCGTCAGCTTGATGTGTCCCAAAGATGTGATGAGAAGACTGCACGAGAGAAAATTGAAAGTTTCTGTCCAGACAGCAAATGTTGGAAAAACAGTGCACTATTTCTATTAGTTTCTAACCTTAGTAATAACAATAATCAACAAAATCATAAACAAAGAAAACACATATGAGCAACTTATGTTAAAGTAATTACTGCGAAAAAACACTGTGAACAAGGCTTCAGACTGCTCCAAACACTCGTCATGGTGCAGTGTGATGTGGATATCCCTATTTTAGTTATCTGAGTCTTACTTGTCAGGCTTGAGGTCTCTGTGCACGATGCCATAATTGTGAAGATATTCTAAGGCGAGGACAGTTTCAGCAAAGTACATACGAGCCATATCCACAGGCAAGGCTCCGATATTCTTCAGGAGTGTGGCGCAGTCGCCACCTATAGATGACACATGAGAGTTGCAATATTAGACAACATAATACTACTACCACCACTAATGACAACTAGTAATTATCTTACCCTCCACATACTCCATCACCATGCACAAGTGTCTCCTGGTCTCGAAAGAACAGAACATTGAGACAACAAAAGGGTTCTCAGCAAATGTTAGTATGTCTCGCTCTACAAAGGCCTGCTGGATCTGGTTCCTCAGGATCAAGTTCTGCTTGTTGATCTTCTTCATAGCAAATCGTTGCCTGGTCTCCTTGTGACGTACGAGAAACACAGCCCTACACAGGACAAGAAAGGTATTCAGGTTTTACAAAGAACTTAACATATATTAAAAATACAGACAGAGAGATGGGTTGAATGCTGTTGTACCCATAGGCTCCATTACTGATGAGCTTGATATTTTCAAAGTCCTCCTCTCGAGGGGTTTTGGCTTTAGTCTGTGGTGATCCTGCTGGGACAGCGGCTACTCGAGTCTGAAACACAAAAGCAAAAAACATGAAAGGTTTTCAACCCAAAGAGAAGAACCATGAAAAAAATCTTTACTGTATTTTCATAAATGATTAGTAAAATTCACCCTTTTGTATGTTTCTGAATCTACAAGTTGCTTGAAAAGTGATTTCAAATTGATTAGATGATTAAAATGAAAGTCAATTAAACTGCTTACATTTTTGGTCTACTTTCACAGATTCCTATTTAACACTCCTTCATTGTATACTCACGTCAACTGAATCATCTGTCTCTGGGGTTTCTGGGTTTCCACTATCATAGCTGCTGAGCTGAGTCATTTCTACAACGAGACACAAGGATCAATGACCAGGAGAAAGAGGAACCGAGGGGGGCAAAGAAAAAGACAGTAGTTAACCAGTTAAATAAGAAATATTTGATGTTTGCTGATGTTACCCTCCAGAGGGTCCCTGGTGAGGCCCAGCTGGCTGATGATGTATCGGGGAATGTCAGACTTAATGCCCTGGCCTTCTTTTGCATGGCCTTCAGCTGCTTCCAACAAGTGGTAGAACTCCTCAGGATCAAACTCCTGCAAAGGAGGGAGAGTGGAAGGAGGTCATGAAGCAGGAGTGGCATAAAGAGACAAATCAAAGCTTAAGGTTCAAAATCAAGTAATAACATTTCTTTTGGTGCCAAAATGGTTCCTACAATCTCAGCTGTGTAAGTTGTTATGACAGCCATGACACATGTGAATTTAAAAGGTTGAAAGCCTCAACCTGTCCAGACTTTTATTAGCTGTTCAGTCTTTTGCCTTGCAATAATAACAATAAACAGTAACATATAATATGAAGATTCTTTGTGTAGTTCTGTATCTGTGATAATTCTCCGGTAACGAAATATCATAATTTAGCACAAAATGCTCCCGTCCTGTTTGAGTCTCGACATGGAGAGAAACAGAAATTCATCTGGTTATCTTATTAGATCAAGATATTCAACTCTGATTTAAAGTGAGTTGCCCCAACAACAGCGCCGCACAGGAAAAAAAAACACAATCTAAACCTTCTGTGTGATTCTAAAGCAATCACAGAGTGAAGACTTGGACGGTGCTGCAGACGTACTGGAGGTTTTGCTGGGCAGAAACTTCTGTGTCCTCTGACTAAGACATACTGCCTGATTATTCGCTTCTTGTGGACACACATAAACACTTCCTGCCCCCTCTTGTCTCTCTGTGCTTTCATTTGTAAAAACCCATCCTGTTCAGTGTCACAGCTTCAGCTGTATGCAATTAGTCAAAACTACTGATGTGAGGACTGGGGAAACCTCCCCTCTTGTCCTCCTCTTCCTCATCCTCTACTGCCCCTCCAATTATCCCTGTCTTCTGCACTCCACATCTTTCTTTCTTTCCCATTTTCCCATTCTTTTCCCTAATGTCAAACTCCTGGGCTCACCAATTGCTGGTTCCATCTATTAGGCTGAAAATGTGAACCATCTCATCCAGGGATACAAATTGAGAACTGGTTCTTGTAGAGAACTAGTTCCCAGTAGTCCAATTCCTTGGAATTGTTAGCCTGCCTGCCTATCGATCCCACTTATCGGTTTTTGCACTCGCACTACAATCCGCTGATTTCAGTTCACGTGTCAGAGGAGGAAAATAATGACACAGTTTAGAGTGTGGATACGGACTTTTTTTTATCGTACAAAAGGACGAGATAAATGGTAAAGTGGAAAACTGCTTCCAGGACAGAAACAACAACATTATGCTGCTTACACACCTATGTATGTATTTTTTTTTAGTTTGTATGTAATGATGGTGACTCTCAAAACAGAGCCAATGAGAACCTAATGACAATCGATAAGTGATATCAATAATGGAATCACTAAATTTGTACCAACTCCCATCCTTAATCTCCCAAAATCATGGAGGTCCTCTGAGAGAAGTTTGAATAGGTGACAGACAGAGAAAGAAAAGAAGCTCTGCTGTTGTCTAAACATAATGTTGCTGAGAGGTGTTAATGTGTGAGCATGTGTGTACATTAGACTGTTTTGAAATACCCATAAATTTATTTATTGGCTTAAATTTCCACCAAGGAGCAGAAAGCTCTAAATTGCATTTTTCAAGCGTTTATGGAGCGAATCTGAAGAGTATGAAAAAACACAATTCCAGTTAATACTAGTAACTGAAATGCAAAAAGGACTCAGTAGCTGTTGAGGATAAGCAAGCAAGGTAAGGTTTGGTGAAAAAGGTGAATAAGCTTCATATTTAAATAAAAAATTAATTAAAAAAAACATCTGGAAGGTCTGTGAAGGTCTTTCTTACCAGACACTCGAGCAGACGTGCGGGCCGGGCGATTATGATCATCAGCTTCTTGACAAGTTGTGTGACAAAGGTAACCTCTATGCTTTCAGAACGCTCATGAGCCTTAAAGAGAACACAAGAGGACTCAGGGTTAAAGCAAAAAGTTTACAAAGAACAATTATTACAAATATTCTCTGCAATATTAAGAAGGCAAGAAAAAAAACAATAACAACAAAAAAAAACAGCTAACAAACAACTCGTATCTGTCAGGACAGGACAATAATTCATCAGTGTGAACTTTGATGACCTTGCACTGAATAGAAAACGTCTCTTGTGCTGGATTTGTCCTTCATAAACAAAGCAGAACAGCCATGAGGATGAACAGATGGTGGAGTCCTTCTTTCATTGACACCTGAGAGGTAATCTAAATCAGAAATGACCTCTGCCTCACTCCTTCGTATCCACCATGAAATGTCTGCCAGCATGGAGACAGAGCAATTTACTCAGCAATCCGTTGTAACTGACTGGAGATGCAGCTGGAGCAAACACTGACCCCTGGAAAGAAATGGGGTGGAAAGAAAGTGCATCTGTGTGTGTGTGTGTGTGTGGTGACGAACCTGCCACTGTAACAAAATAAAATAATTAAAGAGAAACTGTGTACATGTGGTTTCATATGTGCACATTTATGAATGTGGCACGTATGCATGTTTTTATAATGTATGTATGTGTCAGGCGGGGTAACACAGGGGAGGCGGCTGCTCATAAACAAAGCGTGGCTGACAGGTTGTTGTTTGTCTGACAGATGCAGAGGGCCCGGGGGCCCCTATAACCCCACCACCACCACCACCACCACCACCCTTGAATTATCTCTTGAATTATTTATAACTGTAATGAAACCTGGAGGGAGGGAGTGAATATCTACTGTATTGGTATTCAACTATATGTATCTAAGTATAAAGGAGATGGAATATTATGTATGTGCGTGTATGTGTGTGGTTACTGTAAGGACCAGCGATCGGTGGTAACGCACAGCTGAGGGATAGGCTCCCCCTACATAGAGACTAATTATCCAGAGACTATGTGAGAAAGAGACAGCCGGCATATTTTAACACTGTGTGGTTAACGTGAAGTGACTCCCTGGTGGGTACACAGCATACATACAAGTCCTTTAACATCTTGAATCCACATGCACAGTGTGATCTAATTTATAGATTTTAGTGTATTACAAATTTATTCTATTATGCTAGAATGACGTGGATTGGACTTTTATGTTTGGTAAACGCATAGCGATTAACTATGCTAAGCGATACACACAGTTATTACAACTGGTGCCAAAAACGTCATCTTCAACATCCTTTGTCTTCATCAGCGAAGCACTGCTCGTCTCGTCAGAGAAGAAATTAGATGATCATTTCACTTATATTGAAAAAGATCAACTAATTTTCATTAACAAATTCAATTTCTTGTGAATCATCAAGGCTGGTGTGAAATGAATACTGTAAAACATGCTATAATTCCGATTACCAGTGAGTAAATATACTTAGTAAGACTTAATTAAACTAATTTAATCCTAATTTAAGAGTGAAATCCAGGAAATGCTGGAAACTGCTGGCAGTGAAAGTGGTCTCACCAAATGTTTAAGGACTTTTTAGGTTCATTTATTTATTTTAACAAATGGTACAATAACTGTTTTTGTTCAACTAAGCTTCAATTTTGTTTAAAGGGAAGTACATGTAAGTACATATAATTTGGCAGTATCTTATTGTAAAATGTTCATAACCTTAGCTGCATTTCTGCAAATATAAAATAAATAAATTATATTTATGTCCTTTTTTATTTTAAAAAAATGCAAGTTTTTTTTTAAGATCAGAGGTAAATTCATTAAGTCTAACAGAGAGACGTGGGGATCACAGATAACCTAATACAACAATATCACAATACATGGTGTACAGAAATGATGTCATCACACAGCAACACTCAGTACAGTGGAACAAAGTCACAGATCCTTGTGAGCTGCTTTTCCTTCACTTCAAATTCCATTTTCTTTGCTTTTATTCATTTGAAAAGTACCACCACAAGCACTCATGAAAAAGTGAATGTGAGATGTTTAAGAATGATTGAATGTGAATTTCTGGTGTTAATTTAGTTCAGTTCAATTCAATTTAATTTTTTTAACACCATAACATATGGAAGAAAAGATCTTTTTCTCATGCTTAACAGAGAGCATGCATCATTTCCTCCAAGCAGGTCACAGTTGTACCTGAATTCAGCTAAAAGACTATTAAAAGCAGATGTTTGCAGCTGTGTATGGCTTGTGGCAAATCTGTTGAAGGTTCAGAGTGAAGGATGGACACTTAGTGACAGATCACTGGAGCTGAGATAGCTTTCTACAACCCTCTGCCCTCAGGTGACCTCCAGGAGTCTAACAGGGTCTCCCAGGGGTTCCAGCAGAGGATGTCCTGGATGGAGGTTGCCATGGTGACCGCCAGACAGGTCACTAAGGCCTCGTGACAGGGATAGATGACCGAGAGGAAGTGAGTATGAGCCAAATAAGAGGGGTGAAGGTGGAGGACAGAAAAAAGACAAGAGAAGGACAGGAGGAGGAGAGTTTAGTCGGCCTCCTGTGAATTTTGTAATGAGGTCATGACACAAGGAAAGGAAAGAAAGGACACCAAAGACGGGGATAAGGAATGATGATAAAGGAAAAGGACTGATAATTGCAGAAACCAAAAGGTGTAGGTTGGTAAAAATGAAAAACAAGGGGAAATGGGTTTACCAAACCAGCTTCTCAAAAATGAGAAAGGCTCATTTCTCAAAGTTACTCTGTAACTGGCTCATGTAAAGTGCAGTGAAGCATAGTAAAAAGCCACTGGGAGAACATACAAGCTATTATTTTTGTTACCGTTAATCCTGTAAAATTACAGGGTCAGTTTATCAAATGGCAAGTTTCTGTTGAGTTTTGTCATTTTCCAGTTTCAGCTGATTAAATTCCACTTCACTCACGCTCACTGAGTGGCACACAGAAATCTCACTACAGGGGAAAGTGAAACCATCAAGCTTCACGCAGTTTGTTTTTTAAGACTTTTCTACGGTGTTTCTCTGATTTTTAAGGGAAACAAAGTTAGACAGGCAGGGTTGAGATTGTTTTAATATTTGCATTGATGGGATAGTAGCTACACCGGACAAAGGATGTTGAAGATGGAGTCACCAGGCAGGAGGAAAAGAGGAACCACAGAGAAGATTCATGGATTTAGTGAAGGAGTATATGCTGAGGGTTGGTGTGACAGAGGAGGGATAGGTTGAGATGGAGGGCCATGGAAGAAAAAGAACGGCTGATTTATTTTAGTGATCAAGTTATCTGGGGATAAAAAGCCTTCATTTAAGGTGTTCCTTTTGGTTTTTGACTCACTGGATCTGTGATGGTCAGGTCACCTGTCCAAGGCGTACACTTCGCCCAATAAAGATGGCATTGATTCCAGTTGGATAAGCAGTTAAGATGGACAAGATGAATGACATTCACTACATCAGGCAAAATGATCAATTTTGATGTAATTATATTTACAAATATAATGAATGAAAAACTAGATTAACTCTCTGTTGAGATCTCTCCTGTTAAAATAGTAAATACCAGATAATGCATCACCTTTCTGAGCTGACTTTTGAGCCAACAACAGCAGCATTTGGGAAGAAATTGCTCACAAAGTCGCACTTAATGCCACAAAAAACTAGCTAGACTCAACTTGCAGATAAGGGGTAAGAATAAGACATAGGCTCACTTGTCTTTTATGAACCTTTCAAAGGTTTTGTTTGTAGAACAATTTACAGTTACAAGCTACTAAAGCCAGAGAAAGTAGTGCAGGCAACTCCTGAGGTATGACATCAGATCAGCAACATTCAGTTTACCTTCGAGTCTGATCTTCAACAACAATGTAACCGAGTCTCAACGTCTCAATAAAGCTACACTGAATCAAACCGAAATTGACTCAACTGTAAAGTCGGCATCTGTCCCTTCCTCCTCCCAGCAGTCCATGAACACCTTCCACTCGCTCCTCCTTATCACCTCCTCCACCTCCTCTTCTTCCAGCCTCCTCTGCCACGAGGTGCGATACATGTCTCGGACAAACACCCACAAAAATTACGTGGAATTCCCATAAATGAAAGTGCTGAGGTTGCCTTCACACCTGCATCCACCTGCTCACAAATTCATTTTCTGAGCTGGAGGTCTGCTTCACCTGCTGCTGCACTTGGCTATATTACAAAAAACAGAAGAAAAAAAAAAACAGTCTAATGTCGCCTAATTGGTGATGTCATCATTCAGCCCGCATTGCTGCACTGCCATCTGAGCTGGGAGCGCTTCTCCAGATGTGCACAACCCGAGTTCCTCGCACCCTCCAAAAGACTTTGAACAGGCTTCATGCATGTACATCCACCTCCCCTTTCCTCTGTGAACCTGCTGGCCAATCGAAAGCAGAGGAATCCCCTCCAATCCTCAGCCATCCCAAAACCTTTCCACTGCACCTCCTTGCGTCTGGGAGAGTCATCCATCAGTCCCCAGTGACCACTGAAGTGTGAAATTAAAATCGGAGAGCGTGTGTGTGCTTGCCTGCATATATGTGTGTGTCTATGATTGAGATATCTTGTGTTTATGTGTCCCAGTAGAACAGAAGGTCAATAAGAGGCCTGTGGGAGCCACAATATCACACCCTCAGGCCCCCGAAAACTGAGCTAATAGAGATGTCACCACCGCTCACACATGTGTAAGTACATTTCTGTGCTCTGTCATGTTGATATTCGTGTGTAAACGGACATGAGGTAATTTTGTCACACCAAGTGAGTAAATTTAAATTGATTGACAGAAATATACATGAAGGAATGTGTGAGAGCCCAGGAAGTCTTAGGTCTGTAAGGAACGGCAGCCTCTGTGCATTCATAAGACATGTAACCATACTCGCAATGAGTGAACAAAGGTGTGTGTCACACTGTAAGTTGTTGCACAGTAAACCAAGCATGGCTGGGATGGTACTATACATGTTGTGTCTTTATTTGTGTATTTTTAAAGAGAAGAAAATAATGAAAAGAATTAAATAATTAAAACATTTAGAGGTCTCTAAAATCAACACTGCAGTCTACACCTGGTCAAAAGTGTCCGAGCTGATTGTTGTGTGTCTGTTTGTTTGTTTTTTAGAAGTGCATGAGGAACACAATTGGAAGCAAATGAAGTTCTTATATTTAGATTGCTCTTACACGCTTTATTCAAAGGAATGATTAAGAATTGGAAGCAAAAGTGGCTTATTGCGGGACTGTGAATAAACTTGTGAATCAACTTACATCTTGCAGCAGCTTCTCCAGATTCTCCTGGAGTTCGTAGAAGTAGCGGGAAGTGATGAGGTCCTCTCTGCTTTTCTCCAGGCAGTCTCTGGACAACTCTATAAGCTGATGATGAATGAAGCTCAAGACCCCGTCGGCCAATGGGCAAATCTTCTCTGGGGCCGAGGAGGCAAGCAGCTCGGCCAGACGCTCCTCCATTTGAGCTGTTGCCTGAGGGGAGGAGGCGGAAGGCAATTACAGGGTGGGGAGAAGGATGAGTCACACATAGGAACGCTCATGTGAGACACATGGAGAGACAGTAAACGGCACGGCTATAAGATAATCTCATATGGAAGGGAAAATCCCTTCTAATTGAAAAATTAATTATTCAAAAATGATGTTTGATACAGGCCTGAAATAATGTACTCAATGAAACACTAAACTTCTAGTCTTTAGCATAATACATCATCTATGTCACAGTAATTGAACAAATACTTAAAGGGACAGGTCGCTGTAAGAAAAAAGAGAAATATGAAACAGAGACGAACACTGATGTCACATATTAATAAGAAATTAGAGTATTTTATTTCAAAATGCTGCTCATACAGCACTTACTGCAGCTGCTTCATTGAATAAAAACAACTTGCAATAATATTTCAGTTGTGTATAAATCCTGTATTAAATAGAAAATAGAAACAAAGCAAACGCATCGATGTCTTAGACTTCATCAGCCAGATCATTGGACAGCATTTCTGGATTTTTTTTACGCATGTGCATATCTCTGCATGCTGGAGTCTTAATTTGCACTTGTGGATGTGCAGCCTTACTGCGCAGTAATGAACAACATCTTTTTTAAAGCAGTGCTGCATTAGGGCTTGAAAATATATGCTCATTTTGAATATGTTCTTAGCACCAATTTTTTTAACTACTGTGGTGCATCTATTTTGTTTTTTTTAAGTTATGTTCTCCACTCAAATTCAGACAAATGCTGCAAAATTGATGGTGCTGGATAATGAACAAACACACAGCAATCCAAGTCTCTCTAGACAAAGAAATGAGATATTTGACCAAGTCAATGACCTGATATTAGCCTAATAGAGCATGATTTTCAGTTGTTAAACTGACTGCACAAAGATTCACAAACATGCAGCAACTAAAGCTGGCTGAGTAAAGGCCTAGCAGAGCATCTCGATGGAGGAAATGCAGCATATGTGATGTCCGTGGGTTCTAGACAGCAGTTTTTTTTTATCCACTTCTTAAAAACAATCTTAAAATATTGAACTACGTATAATGCAATTTACATTCTTTAACAGTTAACTCAATATATTAGCAACACGTCATGAATTAAAGCTGAACGTCTACGCTTTAGAAACATCTTGAAAGACCGATTTAAAATCCACCGGGGTGGTGTGCAGAGGCAATATGTATTAAAACTGTATTAGTGGCTATAGAGATGAAATGTGTTCATTGACTAACTTAAGCAGAAGGTGTCTGAGCCCATGCACTTATTACAGAATCAGGTATGTTTCTGATGTAACGCTGCAGTTCAGCACTACTTCTCAGCGTGCTCCCTTGCTCACAGAAACATCTGTAGATTCTTCTTCTTCTTTTTAAATACACTGTACTAAAGATGATGAAATCCCTAAATTCTTGCAGTTGTCCACACAGTAGTGAACTCCAAACATTTTTAACTGCTTGTTGTTTGGATTCTAGACCAACTTTGAAAGCAAAGACTTAAACTGAGGTTCTTGCATTGTTGTTCTTTTGTTCATCCCTTTTTTTTTTTTTAAGCACTTCCTTTAGTTTCTTTAGGAACTGTGTGTCAGTAATACAAACCTTTGGGAATCTCTCCTTGTATACATGGTTCATCATCATAATCTCATGGTCAAAGGACACAGGAGAGCGCCCAGGGCTGAAACAAAGCAAATGGAGATAATCACCAACTGTAAGCCATTGAAGTCTTAGCATGCCTTTAGTTAAATGTGCTGACAGGCAACAATTATTTTCAAAAAGCTGTTTAACATATGCTTTCCAGGACAGTCACACGTTGCTCTTGATGTAGCTCATCAGGAAATTGTTCTGTGTATACTGTGGAACCAAAAATATGAGCATGTGATGCACAAACACTAGCATTTGAAGCCAAATACTTGTGAGAAGGGATCATGTGAGCAACCATAAATAATTCAGTACATAAGTCTACCTGTTCACTATGTCAGAATTAATGATAGTCATGGTCCTCTAATGTATAAAGTAGTAGACTCAAACTTTAAATCTCCAGATGTAAAAATGAATAGAATTTCTTTAAAGATTCTCTGTAACATACATAAAAAGCACAAACTAGGATAAAGCAAAGACAGATTTTTTTTTTCTCCACAGATGAACATTTAGAAAAGTTCTGGTGCTCGTTTGTATTCTGAAAAAAAAGATCCGCCCTGTCAGAAACAGGCCTGAGGAAACCGAAGTGACAGACAGGCTCGGTCAGCTCAGAGCAGAGGGGAAGAGAAAAGGGATGGTGCTCACACACAATAACAGGACCTGGGGGTCTTCATCATACGTGCATCTTCAGCGGTGTCAACCGAATACCATGACATCCTCTAGACTCACATGGTTGCACACACTGAGCAGCGCAAAGGTAACGCCTCTGGAGGCTGGCAGACCAACGGACAGCATGTGTGCGTCAGTAAAAAGCCAGGCATCTTCACTACTCGTCCAGCTCCGTGCAGCGAGTCTCCATTAGTCCTCGGGGGGTTTTCATGCCCTGACAGACTGACAGTGATGTCTCCTTTAGTTCATACTAGCACCAACAGTGGACTTCATTTTCTCTGTATTGTGCTTCTCCAGGGACTCATCCCTTTTCTTATTCTATCATGAACCAACCCCCACACCTGACCTCTCTCTACAATAACACAAAACAGCAACAGCAGCAATACCCTTGACCTTTCCATGTCTCACTTTCACAATATGAGATGATGACAGGTAGAAGGCAGTATGTGTGTGTGTATGTGTTTTAGTCACGGAAGAAACATTTAATTCTGAACAAGGCTTTGATAACCTTCGGTTTCATTTACTATCATATATGAAAGTGAAAACTGCTTTCCAAACGATGAGCATTTTAGGAACTTTAGGAATCTGGCACACAACATATCTTCATCTGTTTTAAACCATTAGTTTGGTTGTTATTAACTGTTCCTGGAATGATTTTAAATATCCTTCTTGAAGATACAATGAAGAAACACGGCCATAAATTCAACTGTTATTAAAATTGTCTAAGCTTGCCTTTAGTGTTACTCAGAAACAACTTGAATACATGTTTATTACGAGAAGGGTGATGCCAGTGTACTTGAGCACACTGGATTTTAAATTCTGCTCCCTCTTGTATGTAAATGGTCTGAGCAAAAGGAGGAAAATTAATGAAGGCATCTCTATAACGCAGCCCACTTCCATCCATTCATCCATTTATCCATCCATCAATGTACTTCGACATCTATGGTCAATTTAGCAAGCGCTAAGCTATGTACAGGGTGTCTTTTGTCCTGTTTTCCTCCCATCACCCCCAGCCTGGCTGGAGTTTTGTCTCTATTATTGCAGGGTCTTTACCTTACAATATAAAGCACCTTGAGGTGACTTGTTAAGATCTGAGGTTATATAAATAAAATTTAATTGCACTGAGTGTATTTTTTTCAAGAGGCCTAAAGTGACTTTTTATTGCTCTTACAACTTAACCTCATAAAGGGTCATCACATCAAGGGGGTAAAACATTTTTGCTAAACTCAAATATAGTAAAATATCTAATTTTACAAAAAAAAATAATTATTTGACCTGAAGGCCAACCAACAAGTTACTTGTTTTTAAAATGAATTGAAATCTTAAGAAAACATTAAAAAAGGAAGTGCAGAAAAGACACCTCACAATTTCTGCAAACTTAAGAGACTTAATATGACTGAGGTTACAAACCCAGCAAACAAACACAAAGACATTTTAGCCACCACACATCTGTTAGCATGAGTCACTGATAAACACACAAATATACCCGTGCACATAAGCACATACATGGTGACCTGTACCATGAGGTAATGCTCTGAGTCATCAACCAGCAGCTCAAAGTCCAATTACGAGCGTAATAGGAATGAGAACAGCCTGAACGTGACAAACATGCTGAACGTCATGAGCGCAGTTTATCACGCTGACAGATGACCACACACACACACACACACACACACACACACACACA